CTTCTCGGTCTTTTGGCTAGGATCAAAGAGTAGTATCTGTTCTCGGCGGGTGGGGGTTGTAAACTACAATTTCGTCTCTCAGTTGTGTCTCTGTCTTCGGACAGAGCGTAACTCATTTATCTCTCTGTCTGCGTGCGAACACTGAAAATATTACTGGGAAGTACCCGGTCCCGGAAAACAGCTCCCCGCCGTAACTCACCTATTTCACTAAAGGGGAGTGTAGGTAGCAATACCGATGCAACCGCAACTGACGGTTGCGGGGGCTGGGCTATTTTTGGATCTGGCTCGGGTGTATATTCTCGGGATCCTCACATTAAACTAACCTGGTATCACATCCTGCCAGCATAGGCCGGAAAGAAAATACAATCGCTTCTCGGTCTTTTGGCTAGGATCAAAGAGTAGTATCTGTTCTCGGTTATAAACTACAATTTTATCTCTCAGTTGTGTCTTTGTCTTCGGACAATTGTTTTTCTGTCTGCGACGACAGGACAACTTAAAATATTATTGTGAGTTGCCCGGTCCAGGAAAACACCTGACCGTGGCAGTACATCCTTCACTGCACTAAAGAGTGGTTGTAGGTAGTAATGCCGATGCCAGCGTAGCCGACGGTTACGGAGGTTGGGTTATTTTGGGACCTAAACTGGGTGTACGTGCCTAGTCTCCCCACATTAAACTGACCTTGTACCACATTCTGCCAGCATGGGGTGGCAAGAAAATACAATCGCTTCTCAGCCTTCTGGCTAAGATCAATGTGTAGTATCTCTTCTTATCAGCTTAACCTGACTCTCTCTCTCCCTCTCTCTCTCTCTTTCCACTTCTATCTTCCTTCCTTTTTTTCTTTCATTTCTCACAAACACCATGTAGTGTCCCTCTTTCCACGCGATCAAAACAGAATACTGCTGTATTTATGAGATATTGGCAGAGAGTAACGGTTGTGCGAATTAAGGGAGTGGGGAACAAGGACCGCCTTATCGGGCCTCATTTAAGCTAGCTCCTATGGAGGACTCTTGGTTTGGCCACCATCATAATAACTAGGAAGGAGTAGATGCAATAGGCATCAATAAACTACAGAAAAACTCAAAATTGATCGCTGCATTTAAGTATTGAATTAATATTTAAGCTTACCTTTTAAAAGTTCACTGATAATTCTTCTGCTGCCACTTAATTTAAAGATGATTTGATGTACGTAGATCCTTATTTTCCGTACAAACAATTATTTTATTTCATGGGTGACAGAACAGAGGGACAATTTATAAGATAAAATTAATACAGTGTAAAGATGGGAAAATAGAATTAGTTGTACATTCAACACTTGAAAAGTTAGAGAAACATAATAGCTAATTAACCTATGGAATCTATATGAATAAATGCGTAATTGGGGAATTCTTAGATTAAAAAAAAAACAGCTCCACTTCATAGTTGCACGATACGAGCTCAACATCTGTTATTATCTACTTCTGGACAATATAACTATTCAGGTTTAATTAATTTGGATATTAATTTTTTTAAAAAAGTTTATTTCATTAATTAAACTGTCTTTCATTACTGTTCTTTTATTCGAGGATTGTTTTGATATTCATATAAAAAAAATTGTTCTGTTTAGGAATATCGTCTTATATAGTACAGAAAAATATTTGAAATTTGCGTTTTACTTGGCCTTCAACAAGTTAGCATATATTTGTAAAACTTTCCTTAACTATAACAAGCCAATTTATGAAAGAAATATTCATTTAAAATTTCTTTCAAAGATTTCAAATAATGAATATATCTTACTTAGCGAAGCAACAGCGAGCGGGCTAAGCCTGCTAGTTAAAAACAGAGGAACATTTCTAAAGTTAAAAACAGAGGAACATTTCTAAAATTAGTTAAAGATAAAGAAGAACGTGATCAAGCGATGTAATATAGCGTCCTTTTATATATATATATATATCTACAGGATGTTTTTGATTGTAAAAGTTTTAAAGATAAACTGAGAACGGGGATATATGAATGGAAGGATTATATATATATATATATATATATATATATATATATAAAGGAAAATTCTATACAAAAGATTATAGTTTATGATATAAATTAAATTAATATATTATTAATAAAAGTAATATTAAATTAAATATTAATAAAAATAAAAATCTTAAAATTAAAAATATATATAATAGACTCGGGATGATCTTCGATTATCATTGTAACTGATGGGGTTGAATATGAACAAACAGGGATCTCATTCAATAAATCTGCACTTCAGTATATGTCTATATTTCTGAGATGAGGTATTATGTACATTATTTACATTATTCGGACTACTGTCGTCATCTTTGTCGGCATATTTATTACAACGTTTCGGCCGTTGTACGCTCCGGCCTTCTTCAGGTGGTTGGAAATAAAGGGAGAGGGGAACAAGCACAGCCTTATCGGGCCTCAAAGCTAGCTCCTATGGAGGATTCTTGGTTTGGCCACTGTCACAATAACTCGAGAGGAGTAGATGCAATAGGCATCAGGAAACTACAGAACTCAAAATTGATTGCTGCATTTAAATATTGAATTAATGTTTAAGCTTACCTTTTAAAAGTTCACTGATAATTCTTCTGCTGCCACTTAATTTAAACACGATTTGATGTACTTAGATCCTTATTTTCCATACAAACAATTATTCGACATTCCAACCACCTGAAGAAGGCCTGAGCGTACAACGGCCGAAACGTTGTAATAAATATGGCGACAAAGATGAGGACAATAGACCGAATAATGTAAATAATGTAAATCTGCACTTTTAAAAAATATTTATCAATTACTTCCTTATTTAAAAAATATTTTAAAATGGTTTATATTATGAGTTATTTTACTTGTGTACATAAACGTTTCATTGAATTTAGTTGTTAAATATAGGTTTATTTCAGTAAATAAGTTTTACTTTTAAAAAAGCATATACATTTAATAATTCGGGTACCTAGGCGTGGTGTAAGGATTAGCAAGCTTCTCTCGCTAAAACAGTTACTACCAAATAGTGAATTCGATTATCACTGAGTACCCCACATGTTCGGCCTTGTGCCACATCTAAGCTACGCTTACCACTCAGCCTTGGGCACACCGAGACGGTTTACTGTTTCGCAAGTTTGTCTCGTTAGAACAATTAAGACTGAATAGTGAGTTCGATCCTCACTGGGTGTCCCATACTTTCGGCCTTGTGACACATCTAAGCTACGCCTGGAAAAAATACTTATACATTTAATATTTCTATAATAAAAATCATAAGTTTATCGATTAGTAAAAAAAATATATATATATTTTAAAGTTTATTGTTTCTGTGGTAATTCGAATAATCCTTAACACTTGTTGAGAATGAATGAGCTTATAGTCCGGGGAGAGGATCTTCCAATTTGAAATATAGCTCAAATGCAAATGATTCGGCTGGAATATGATTTCGAATCGCGAGCTGCCCCCTTCAGCTATGGGTTAAATACCAGGGCAAACTATGCTCTCTATCCGTGGCTGGTAACCTGTCTAGGAAAAAGACTACTCTGAAGTAAAAACCATATGGGGACTTGGGGAAGGTATATAATCACCGAAAAGATCATTTTCTACGATGGCTCGTTAAGCTCGACTGTTAAAAACATTCTCCTTCTATCAAGAGTCTTCTTATTATCTTCCATTCCCAGTATCCGCTTGAGTCTTAGTGGCATTATTGCCTTGCTTGCGAAGAATTGATTAAAAAAAATGATTTTTTTTTAATTTGTTGTTGAATTTGTTGTTGATTTTTTGCAATCAAAGCAAAATAATTGGCCGTAATTTTAATTTTTTTTCCATTTTGTAGAGGTTTTAGTATGTTGTTTATGTTATAGTAACCCACCTACAGTAGAATGAACTCTTCCTCCTTTCATAAATACTAATATGCGTGACTTCCTGTCTGGGCAATCCGAGGCGCAGTGTATGTAATCTGGCCGTTCGGGCGGACACTTCTATGTGCTTATTACTAACAATCTTACTTTGTATATATCTGTTACTAGCAGTAGCGCCCGGCGTTGCCCGGGGATGTAACAGTAAGAGATAGATCAAGTATCGACCATCATAAAGACTGAAAAATAAAATTGACAAAGATTATTGTTTAAGGTTGACGGACACGCATGTCTTAATTAGTTTTTTGGTTTTGTTTAGTTTTTTTTTTTTTTTTTTTTTTTTTTTACGAATTGGTCAAACCCAAACTCAAACAAAAACATTGTTTTCAATCGTTATGAGTCTACCGATTGAATAGAATTTTATTATAAACAATTGTCTTGTAAATGGAATTTTTAAAAGCATTCTGAATGTAAAAATAAATAAAAAAAAGTGTGCAAGACAATAAGAAACACTACCTGCCAAAAAAAAGTGAAGTTTTGTTGAAATCAGTTCAAAAATGTAGGAAATCCGATCCCATATATAAACGAACACACACACACAAACAACCTGGGTTTTATAATAAGTATAACTCGATATGAGTTGTCCTCCTTTCATTAATGCCTCTTAATCGTGTTTTCGAATTGATTTCGTGCAAAAACAATTGTGTTTTTCCAATTTTGGGCGCTGTCAGAAGCACCGGAAGGTAATTTTACGTAGTCCTGTGACGTTTTGTTGAAATCGGTTGAAAAATGTAGGAAATCCGATCCAATATATAAACGTACAGACACACGCACACACACACACACACACGCACACACACACACACGCACACACACACACGCACACCCTGGGTTTTATAATAAGTATGATTTCAATACACTTGTTCAAAACCTACCTTCGTCTTCTGTGTCTTTCTTTTCTTGCCCCTAAATAAGCCACAACAGTTTAGAAATATGCAAAATCTACGACTGCCCTGATCGGCACAAATGCGAGGTACATCACTAGAAAGAAACGTTGTAAAAGAGTTTGAGCCACAAATGACAGGAAGTTGTGCAGGGCCATGATCAAGGGCAACGATAAATAGACATAAAAAAATTCTACTAAGTCATGGATTCGAATCTCACCACATAGCTTCAATCTTTTTTTTTCTTTTTTTCGTAAGGAAAGAAAGATCGCCATTTTTCTTTTCATCTTCCATTGCGATCACAAGGAAAGCAGTACGTAAACGGAGTGATCGCTCAAAAGAAGATTTATTAAGATAAAATCTTGTAAAAGGAGAGGCCAAGGGTCAACTGGTTAGTAAAAAAAATACTGTTGTAGATACAGAGATGTTCAATTGACAGAATTTGGAGGGAGGTTGTTTTTGGCGATGTTTTTGAGGTACCTCAAGGTGGTGTAATGGTTAGCAAGCTTGTCTCGCTAGAACAATTACGACTGAGTAGTGAGTTCGATTCTCGCTGGGTGCCTCCTAATTTCGGCCTTGTGCTATATCTAAGCTGTTCTTGGAAAAGGGCACCTCGAGGCGGTGTAATGGTTAGCAAGTTTGGCTCGCTAGAACAATTGCGACTGAGTAGTGAGTTTGATCCTAACTGGGTTCCCCATAAATTCAGCCTTGTGCCACATCTAAAAAAAATCGCTCCATGGCCATGTTCTTAATGTGATCTTTAACATAATTCTTGCACTTTTTAATTCTTTTATATTTGGGTTTACTTCATCATTTGTTGGACATAGAAAAAAGTTTTTTTTTTTTAAATTAGGTAAAAATACCCCCCACAAAAAAAATTAGGAATAAATACCACCCAAAAACACAAATGCCCCCATTAGGCAAAGTGCCCTGCACCGAAAAAAAATTGTCAAAAATGTCACCCCCAAAATATAATATACCAGGAACTTCAGGATAATAGTTTCAGCGTGGAGATGTTCAAGGGCAGCTTAGATGTGGCACAAGGCCAAAAGTATGGGAGAGCCAATGAGGATCGAAATCACTACTCAGTTGCAATTGATCTAGCGAGATAAGTTTGCTCGCCATTACACCAAATCCGAAAAAGATTTTCTAAGCGTAGATTAGGTGTGGCACAAGGCCGAAAGTGGTGAGCACCCAGTGAGGAATGTGCACACTACTCAGTCGTAATTGTCCTCGCGAGACAAGCTTGCTAACACTTACATCACGTCGAAGGGCCCAAATGCCCGTTTAAGTGTAGATTAGATGTGGCAGAAGGTCGAAAGTGAGGAGCACCCTCTGAGGATGGAACTCACTAACCAGTCGTAATTGTTCTGACACGACAAAATAAGCTAAGAATTTACCACGTCGAGGTGTCCATGGTATTTTTATAAGCGTAGCTTAGATGTGGCACAAGGCCGAAAGTATGTGGCACCCAGTGAGGATCGAACTTACCAGTCGTAATTGTTCTAACACGATAAACTAAGCTAAGAATTATACCACGTCGAGGTATTTGTATAACCGTAGCTTAGATGGAGCACAAGTATGGGGTACCCAATGAAGATCGAAAAACAACCCAGTCGCAATGATTCTAGTGAGACGCGGTTTTCAATTGTTGAAATGTCTTTATTTCATTTTATCTTTGTTTATGTTCCTCGAGTGATCGTCCAGTTTTGTATAAAGTTGTACAAAAGGACATGACATACACTCAAAAAGATGTGGCACAAGGTCGAAAATGGGGAGCTCCCAGCGAGGCTGGAACTCACTAACTAGTCGTTATTGTTCTAACACGACAAACTAAGCTAAGAATTATACCACGTCGAGTCGCCCATGGTATTTTTATAAGCGCAGCTTAGATGTACACAAGGCTGAAAGTATGGTGCACCCAGTGAGGATCGAACTCACTACCCAGTCCTAATTCTAGTAAGACAAGCTTGATAACCATTACCCCACATCAAGGTGCCTATGTTAATTTTAGATGGCCGAAAGGTTCCCATGGTATTTTTATAAGCGTAGCTTAGATGTGGCACAAGGCAAAAAGTATGGTTAACCTAGTGAGGATCGAACTCATTACCCAGCCGTAATGATTCAAGTGTTGAAATGTCTTTATTTCGTTTTATCTTTGTTTATGTTCTTCGAGTGACCGTCCAGTTCTCTACTGTAGGATAACCACACACCTGTCTGCCAGGAGACTTCGTTTAACGCCTGCAAGTTGGCATTGTATAAAATTGTACAAAAGGAAAGGACATACACTCAAAAAGATGGAAGAAAATAATTGTATGACTCAATTGGGAATAAGATTCCCCTTTTTTTTATCTTTCAACATTAACACCGTGTTTATTATTGATCATAACATGAATTAAAAAACAGTACCTTAAAGAAGAAAAAAAACCGGGTAAAGATAGAGGAAGAAAAAGAGAGAAAGATAAGGTGGGCGTCAAAGAATACACGTTGTATGCGTCGCCAACAATAGGATCTGTAATGTCCGTCTAGTGATCACACCTGTGGCAAAAAAAGGGGGTCGGACATTTATACATGCACACGTCTAGTCACGTGCACTCTCGAACAGGTGCGTATGCAAATTCAGGGGCGTAGAACAAACCTTAGAGTTTTTCTTGTTAAAAAAAAAAATAAAAAATAAAAAAGGTTCGGGCAAGGGGAAGTCGACGAAGATTTGAAGACATGACAAGGTGAGGGACACGGAAAAGGGTATAACAGACAGGTAGAATAAAGCACATTAAAGCCAATTGAAAAAGGGGAGAAAAAATGTTAAAAAAAAAAAAAAGTTTCCCGATTCCTGGCTTTGCTTTGAGATCGTCAAAGATGCAATCCGCCTTTTGTTTAAGCAAGTAAATTATTCTTTTTCATTTGTGACTCGATTAATAAAGTGATAACGTGGCTTTCATCAAAGGGACAAAGATGAGTGTGTCCACTCAAGAGTTGTTTTTGTCACTTCACAAAACAGCTCAAAGCTGAATAGGGAATAATTAATTTAATGTTTATCTCTGTTATCGGATATTCATGTTCAAAACTGTCTTTCTGACAACATCAGAAGTGAGTCATTTTGTTTTCATTTACAAATCAAATGGGAACATCAGTTCATTTCTTCGAATTCAGGACTTTTCCCCTAAAAAAAAAAATTCAGACAAACAAAATTTGAAAATAGAGAGTATGGGTAATTTTTTACATTTCCTCGTTATATCTTCATGGTCCTCCACAACTTCCTGTTTTTTGTCACTCTCAGAAAAAAACTTTTTCCTATTCCTTGTTCTGGCATCCATTTATGCAAGTCCGTTAGTTCACTACTGTCCTGTGTTTCTTTTGCCTTCAGCATGTTCTGTGAGTGTCATATTCTCCAAGCCTTCTTTCTCTTTCTGATCCTAAGTATGTGTTCTTTTTTATTCCCTTTTCTTTAAAACTTTATCGTTACTCACTTGGTCAGTCCATATTATTCTCAGCACCCTTTTGCAGACCCACATTTCTTTTTCCTCAAGTCCCTGTGAAGACTTGCCATATAGGAGGACCGACATTAAATAAAAGTTCAGTACTCTTTTCTTTGTTTCTAACGAAGATTTTCTGTCTCTTAATACAGGCATCGGCAAACCTTGGCATGCGTGCCAAACATGGCACACCGATGACTTCTGTCTGGCACGCGAAACTTATTCATCAGATTCCCTTTTATTCTTCTCCTCTTTCATGTATATCATTATCTCATATGTTTCTATTTTCTTCCCTTGACATTGTGCAGAATGTCATGATAATTAGCTAAGAAACGATGTCATTCCAACGAAGAAGATATTAGAGAATTTAAAGAACACTGGTCTGAAAAAAATGTGGTATGATTAAAAGAAAACAAAGTCTTATGCATTTTCCGTTCCAAAACAATCATTTGTCGGGCTTCTTCTGAAAAGGGATAGTTTGAAAGTTTTCATACGTACTTAAGCAATAAAACTGAAGAGGAAAAAAGAGAATGAATTTCTTGTGAATTACACAAGACAAAAAAAAAAAAAAATAGGCTGATACTTTTATGAACTTTATATCAGAAAAGCCCCGTTCCAACTTCGTTGCTGCTAGTTTTGAGGTTTCAAAAATGTTTCTTGATACATGGAAAAACTTTGCTTCACAGCTTTGGCCGGTTTCTAGCAGGCACTTGCAAAAAAGGTTGCTCACCCTTGTAATACACTGCTTAGCTTCTGTTATATAGGAATAAAGTGTCGCTGCTGACACTGTAGTTTGATCATAGATGGCCAGAGAGTAAGCACAGGCGATCCCATTTTGAATAGGTAGATCACATGATGTCAAAGTAAATGTATATATGAGAATTAGTGTGGCGTCTAACTGATCACTATATCTACTCTATCCTCCATTACTATACTGATCACTCTTTCTACACTATCCTCTATCTCTATACCATTCACTATACTATTTCTCTATTACTCCATGGATTACTATTCAGTGGTTACATTTCGAACGAATATTATCGAGCAAGTATTATTAGTGCAAGTGTTATTCTGTTATACCGGAACATACCTATTCTATTGTTAATAGACTCTCCCAGATATAATAAGTAGTAGTAGTAGCAGTCGCCAGAGGGCTCAGTGGAGTTGGTGAGTCAGTCGATGTCGGACATTAAAGTATCAACCACCACAACTAGATTGCTGCGTCATTAACTATTATTTCAAGTTCCTAACGTTTTGTACGTCGAACCTAATTTAGGACCGACTTAGTGAAATACAAGCCTCCACTATGAAAACTACTCTACAACATATTCGAAGGCGTCTAACACCAGTATTGTTCAACGGCGTTACTATAGTTGTATCTGCGATTACAAAGTCTCTACTACAACGAGCATTACGAAAGTGACAACGAGTATTCGTTGACATTACAAAAGTGCAACGAGTGTTCATTGACATCACAAAAGCTTTTGGAAGGCATCTTTCGCTAATGCAATACGACTTCGGATTTGGCATCAGATTTACCGTCTTCGGTTAGAACACCACGTAAATATTTAAATGTGTATCTTTGCTTAATTCTAACGCCACCAAATTTATAGTTCACCTTTTGGGCTGTAACAAATTGACATTACAAGGAAGATACATATTAATTCAACTCAAGCAAGGCAATAAAGCCACTAAGACGTAAAGAGTCACTGAGTGTGAGAAAATATGGTGGGGGGGACACTATTGAAGTGAGAGACCAAGAAAGAAAAGGAATTATTTTTATTTTATTTTATTGTTTATTTTTTTTTAACCGATATCACCCCATGCAAGGCAGTAAAGCCACTAAGACACAAGGGGTCACAGGGTGTGGAAGAATTAGGAACAGAGTCATTAATAATGAGTGGGAAGAGAAGTCATTTGGAGGAGAGTAGACAGCGATTAACATCGCATTTCAAATTTTTGCAGATTAAAGTTGGCTGGAAAACAGAGAGTCGGGAGTTTCACAAGCGAGAAGTACGAGAAAAGAAACTGTTAACATAGAACTTACGGCTACCTCTAGCCAGCTCAACTATAAATTGATGAATTAAAAAAAAAGAAGAAGATAACTTTTAACACAGCATTTAAATTTTTAAAGGATAAAATTGACAGGGAAGCAAGAAGCCGGAAGAGATTTCAACAAGCGAGAAGTGCAATGGAAGAAACTGTTAGCATAGAACTTGCGGTTACACCTAGCCATTTCAACTGTAAAACCTTGCCACCAATATCGTACTGCACTTAAATTCATAAACTTAAGGTACCATAGAAGAAAGGTCATCAGAACAATTACCATGAAAGTATTTATACAAGGTGCATTAAGTAAAGTATCGCCATTTTATATTTTTAATGCGCGTTGTTTTTTTGTTTTTTTGTTTTATTTTGACAGCTGCACAGTATAGTAAGATCAATTGTGCAATATCTGTGAAAAAAGTGCACTATGACGAACTTCACCCCACCAGAAATTTAGAAATGTCAAGCTGTACTGCTTGACATTCGCACCGGAAGCCACAATACGAACATTTCAGTGTGTTTGGGCGTCAATCTGAGGACAGTACAGGGAATTCGGAAAGAGTTAAATGTGTTTAATGGTCATTGTGAAGGTGTTTGAAGTGATCACCAGTGATGGCGATGTTATGCCTTCATTCATCTTCCCACAGGGCCTCAGACTCTACACGGATCCTACATTAAGTGCTTTTAGGAGGTAGTGCTGCCTTGTTTGAAGAGTGCGGCTGCTGGAAGACCATATGTCTGGAAACAGGACTCTGCACCATGCCACACAAACAGGAGAACCCAGTCATTGCTGTCAGATAATCTCTTCGACCACATCACCCTCCTGCACCTGGCTTCAACCCCCTTGATTATTATGTTAAGTGAGAAATGAACAAAACTCATGTAACACAAAAGATGAACTGAAAGCAAGTATTATGGCAACGTTCTTCAACTTAAATAAGGAGACTGTCCAGAACAGTTACATGAGATTCCGAAGTGGTTTGGAGGCCGTGGATGAAGCCAATGGCGATGTTATTGAATAATGTTTCTCTTTCGTATTTCAAGATATTTTTTTTTTATAATTATGTTAAATATATCTGGTAAAATGAGATTTCAGTTTTATACGCATTTTTGTGTCATTTAGACGACAATTTATCCATCGCACCCTGTATATCTGTTAAAATGAGACGTCGGTGTTATTTTAATTTCTGCGTCATTTAGACGACACTTTATCCATCGCACCCTGTATATCTGTTAAAATGAGATGTCAGTGCTATTTTCATTTTTTGCGTCACTTAGACGACAATTTATCCATCGCACCCTGTATTTCTGTTAAAATGAGACGTCAGTGTTATTTTCATCTTTGAGTCATTTAGACGACAATTTATTCTTCTCATCGGCACAGGGCAGCGACGTTACTGTTTTTTTTTTCTTTCGTTACGAAAAAAAAAACCGTAAAAAAACTTAAAAAGAAATCATTAACACAAAAACGCATTTATTTTTAGAAAAGCAGCCTACACCTTTTTTCTAAAATCTAATTTGAAAATTCTGTATTTCAAGAGTTTCAATGTTTCTGACTTTCTCACTCACCTTCTGTCGTCATAACAGGTTGTGATTTTGAGTTTGCCATCAACAGTTCCATCCGTGTATCGTATGCAGCTATCATTAACGCCGATGATAAATCCTGGTAGGTCTGAGAATCGTCTTATTGTACAGATTTTTTTTTTAAGATCCGGTGCGAAAACCCATCCTTGTCTTACTCATTTTTCTGTTTTTATCTACAGGCTTAACTCATTTCCTGTACGATGCAGTTTGTACGTTTTCGATAAATGTTGCTATCACTACCATATCAGTCGGGGTTACCTAGCAGTTCAAACAGGTTTCTATGTCGTATATTATGGAATGCTTTTGCCTAATCTATGTCATTTTTTGTTTTTAAATTGACCTGACCACGATGATTGGCATTTTTTTTTTTTGCAGAAGAAAAGCATCTCCTCACCTGGTAGCGTTT